GAAAAATATGTTACTAAGTAACTATTTATTTATTTTTTGAAAGGCAGTGCTCCAATAGAATCTGAATTCATCTGTTATGTTTTAGTTGATAAACGGAAGCTGGAGTTTGTGGCTCCTGAAGCAAAGCGATCTCGCTCCCAGTCTCCTGGTGTCTCTGCCGACTTCACTCTTCCTCCATTTAACCCCAACAGTCCTCTGGGTAAGAAACTTACACAGTAAAATAAGTCATTTGTGACTTGGAATTGAAATATGTAACTTTTCCTTTTTTTTTTGCTTTTCCTACCCAGGTCAGGATTTTGTGGTCCCTAAATCGGGATTCTTCTGTAATTTGTGCTCCGTTTTCTACTTGAACGAGAGCACCGCTAAAGAATTTCACTGCAGCAGCCAGAGACACTACGACAACCTGCAGGTACACACACACACACACACACATGCAAGATTCAACACACGTGCACAGAAACATCCTCGGTCACACTCTTCCCCTCCTTTTTTCAGAAACATTACCAGAAGCTCAGAAGGAAGACTTCCAGTTCGTTGAAGCCAAATTCCCAAGGCACCGTTTCCAAATGATCGTGAACTGAAACAGAAATGAGTATTTTATGAAACGTTAAACCACGGAGTTGGGGACATGTTTGCGTAAATGACGATTTGTATAAAAAAAACACGACTCGTAGTGTTCACATTATCTGTTAATCAGATCTCATGTTTCAGCATGCATCATTTCTTTTATTCCTTCAGTTTTTGTGCCCTCTCTGAATTTACTTGTGTGGTTGTGTTGCTCCAGTTGAGTCATGGAAAGAGGTTTTTGGATATCATGAGTTAAACATGCAGTGATAAATATTTTGCTTCAGGCTGAAGTCGAACCCAAAGCTAAAAAAACCCCCAGAAGTAACAGACTTGATCAACTCCTGGGCGTTGGAGACAAAAAAAAAAAAAGTCAAAGAATTTGAATTCTTGGTGGTTTTATTCAAGGAAACAAATTTCCACAGAACCCACAATGGTTCCACCCAACTGATGCATCAGTAGTAAATCACTGCTTGAAAATAATTTAGGTCTTACACTATGTAGAAACATGAAAATGGCTCACGAGAGAATGTACTGTTCATTAATTTGTATATAAGATGACGTTTAAACTTTTGTTCATGTAATGAGCTTGTTGTCTTTAAACATGGGTCCAATGGGTTAAATCATTAGATTTTCTTAATTCTGTTAATTGAAAATGTCAAAACCAGTGTGTCGTTTCTTGAAGAGAAAAAAAAGATTGGTTTTCACACGTTTTTATTTTGTAAAGCTTGAATCTTTAGTTACAAAGAACTGAATAAAGTTTAACCTGATAGAAAATTGGTTGAGCTCATGGCTGTTCTGGAGGATGAAGTCCACCATGACAAATATAAAATACCTGCAAATAGTATTTTGTAGTGTAAAAGTATTTTGGTTGTACGTTGGGTCTGGAAAGTATTTGGACTTTTTACAAGGTTGGGTCAGGTCCTCTGGACGTGTCATGTATTTCTGGCTGTCATCAGCAAACTGGTTGATCCACCATGAGAAGATGCGGCTTGTAAGACTTGAGTTTGTTGCATCTCCTCGGACTGAAGAAGTCTTTAACGTTTCAACAAAAGAAGAATCCATCCAGAGGACCCGACTCGACCTTGTTAGGTTTATCTACCTGGATTATTGAGCATGCGTCAGGATATTTGTCTCTGCAGTTTAATGTTGGAGCCTGATGCTACCATCGTTTAATCGATGCTCTGCCCAGTCGTGGAAAAAAAGGGATGAACTGTAAAACTTTGTAAATTTATTTAAAAGAAACCAAAGTTTGCTTTAGCCTTTACAGACACTTGCATGCCTTAACGTTCATCGCCTTTGGCAGCCATCGTTGACTCGTGTTTCTTTGGCTTCGAGCACCTGAGTGAGGAATATTATGTCTTTTGCAAATCCTCCGGTCCAGTTGGATAAGGTTAGTCATTTTCCAGAATGTTCAGAAATGTTGCGAAGGATTCTAGTTAGGATTTTTGACTGGGCCGCTCCAGGACACTGTCCAAGTTTTCCATTCCATGCCCCCGTTCAAAGGCAGACATAGTTTTTGTCCGTCCGTGCATGTCTGTAAGATTTCTCTTGTTCCGCCCATAACTCCTTCTGCTCAAGATAAATTGGCGTGCACTATCTTTCCATCACCCCAGCTTCCAGGTCCAATGCTATGCAAGACCTTTGCTTGTCTAGGCCATAACCTCAGATCAGTGCAATAATTTAACCAAACTTGGTGCACATTTGTACCACCACTACACAGCGTGTCATGTAATCTTCACCACCCCAGCTCCAACTTCACGATCACGTTGTACACGGCCTGCTTGTCAGGGCCATTGCTATAGATTGCTGTATAGTAGTTTGTCCATGGGCGTGTACTGTGCCGTATGCGGTACTCGTGTCGTTTGCTTTGGGTTATGTGAGAAGGTGAATCTTCGGTCCAGTCGGAGGTTTTGAGTTCTGGAACGAGCTGCCATCAGTAAGTGTTTCTCCATAATGCGGGTTAATAATAACACATCAGTCCCTGCAGAGACACTTTTCCTCAGCATCCTGATGCATGCCCAATAATTTGAGAGAGGAGTGAAGGAAGTCGTCCATCATTAAACTGGCGGAGGCTCCATGTCCAATTGTCTCCTTACAATACTGTACTGTTGTTGCTAGTGTCACTCAGCCCTCTATCCAAAAGTCTTCAGTTTGAGGAGCTGCATTAAACTCAGTCTTGTAAATAGCACCTCCTCATAGTGGATCAACCAGTTTGTTGTTGACATCCAGAACTAGCTGTTCACACGATAGAGGAGGACCATCAGTGGGCCCTGTTGGCTGCTTGCTATTCACAGAGGGCTGTGTGATACTGGCAATAACAGTTCTGTAAGGGGGGGCAGGTGGACATGGAGGCCTTCGCCCCTATTTAACAATGGACAAAGGTTTCTTTTCACAAAGATGGCTTCCTTCAATCTCTCTTAAACCACCGTTCCTCTCGATCAAGTGAACATCTTGATCCCTGGACGAGTGACTGCTGGCCTGAAGATGAGTAGACCACAGAGTCCTGGCCTGATGTTTGAGAAAACACTTTAAATTTTATTGGATCGGTCTGATACCATACCATTTTGTTTATAGAGCACTTAAAACAGCTACAAGGCCAACAAAAGTGCTGTACAGACAGAACAACAGACGACACACAAAGCAATATACAAAATGAAGTAAATCAAAAATAAACGGAAGTCTGATTGTCACTTCAGATGTTTCCCTCAGCTCATACTGTACTTTTAAAGATCTCATGAACAGCATTGAAAAATGGTTTTACTTTGCTCCATATAAATAATGTAAACTT